TAGGTCCTCTCCAAAAACCCCCTGATCCACGAATCGGTCAACTCTTCTGACTGATAACTTGCTCTAGACGATGATATGGAGTCATCCTATATTACCCACTACTTCCACTACTGGTCATAACCATGTCTCCCTGACATTGTTGTTGACTCTAAGTCTCCTCCAAATCTCTTTCAACTAATGTGGCTCTCTTGACTAGCTCATCATAATCTCTTATCTTGAGAGCTATTAGTTTCTCACTAATGGATGGCCTTAGACCATGTTCAAACTTCTTGGACTTCTTTGACTCGGTGGAGATAAATTTTGCAACATAACAAAATAGCTCTACAAAGTTGGTTTCATAATACACAATTGATATTTTGCGCTATCGTAGCTCCAACAAATTCAAATTCATTTTATCCTTGATAGATTTAGGGAAGTACTTACCATTCAATACTTGCTCAAACTCGATCCAAATCATCTCGTCCAAATTTCTCATTCTCTTCATGGCATCCCACCAGTGGTTAGCCCCACCTTCCAAGAAATAGGTGGCAAGTCCAACCCATAAGTCTTCAAAGATGCCACTATTTTTCCATCATCTTCTTTATTCGTCTAATCCATTTGTCAGTCTCCATTGGATCTGAGCTCCCTTGAAGTGAGGTGAGTGTTGCCTTGGAAACTCCTTCAACACCATCATTCTCCTATTCTCATCCCCATTCACCTACCCTTTATTTGGTGGCTGGACAACAACGTTGTGATTATTGTTCTCTGCCTAGTACTACACTAAGGTGGTGAGCTCCCTCGAGCATTAGTAGATACCACTCTTGTAACTTGAGGTGGTGGTGGTGGTTAGTTCACTACAAGTCTGGCACATCATCCACGTGCTCTTCTTCCTTCCATCCTATAAAAATAAACATAACTTACTTCTCTTTGTCCAAAATGCACACGCACCCATCCTTATACCTATAATTACTATGATTTCCTAACCACCTTATCTCATGCCTAGTGTTCCTTCCATCCTCTACTTACTACAATTGTAATTGGCTACCCCATTCCCTACAGCTCTCATTTAAGACTTAATTCCATAACTCTGATATCAATCTGTCACGCCCCGAATTTCATTAAATAGCATGAACTAAAGAAAATTCGTTTTATTCAAAAATTTTCCCCGATTTATGAATAACTTAAAAGAAAATACGCATTTTCTATGAGAAACACATTTTTAAATAAATAATATGGAGGTGTTTAATTTAGGAACCGACTTATAACCAAATAGTATGAACAATCTATGGAAGCATTCTAACAAAAACATTCAACTCACCCACAAGCAACATCATCACCATCTAAATTAAAACCCAAAACATAAAACCCTCATCAAAAGTTTAAATCCAACATCACCACATTAAACAACTATTTATAATAAATTGGCTCAACTCTAAGAATTCATAATCTTATTACAACATCAAGAAATAATGCGATAGGAAACTAAATCGGCAATCCTCATGCCTCATTTTAAGATCGACATTATGATCTATTTTAAATTCCACCTCCACATCCTTAGTTATGCCTATCTAAGTGTCCACACTCAAATCTAAAAATGATAAGTAAGGATGACCACAACTAACTCACTAGATAAATCTTTTCAAGCCTAAATAAGGTTTTTAAACACACAGAAAACATGTCAAGTCACATTTCAAAATAGATATACAACTTTTGAGCAAACAAAAGTGAGTAACAATGATCCAATATATTTGATGCATGATGTGAAATAATATTGGTAAACGATCAAGAGGATAAGTAATTTGATTAACAAGAATGTCACACACCGAAATATATCTGATCCACCAAATAATAACAAATCTATAGCAAATCCCCAAAGGAATTTAGGGAGACTAGATAATGAGAATCAATATGTTTAACCAATTTCCCCAAGGAGTAGTGGGAACCCTTGGAACCCACAAGGAACAAAACCTGTCTATTAACCCTCTGCCTCAGTCTTATGTGAGCAAATAGTGGGAACCCTTGGAACCTCGCGAGGGAAAAAACACATCCACTACGAGTAGTATGAAACCTTGAAACCCCTTGAGGTAAGAAACTTGTCTAGATACTCTATGATATATATCGGTGTATTCAAGATCATTAAAGCAATAAATTAGGATCAATGTCACAAATTTTGCAAGAAAGGGATTTATAATTATGAGATCAAACATGCCCAAGTTTGTGCAGAAACTAGCCCCTTCATCCTCTAATTTGAACCCTATGATTTCTCTAGAGATTCTCAATGTTTCAAACCCATTTTTGATGTTATTTCCACCTAAAAACCCTTAGAAGTTACTCACCGTTTCTAGGCCTAATTACTTCGAACTTATCATTTTTTCCCAAAAACCCCAAATGCTCAACACCGAATTACGCGATTCTTTCCTACCTTAGTTACACTTCCTAACAATAATTTAATTGTTTTAACATTATGGTTAACATTCTATTATCCAACTTAAATATATACACAAGATCTTACACTACTGGTCTTGAATTTTTAGTTCAAGGACTATACATGTCAACTCGAACATGGTGCAATTAATAAACAACTCTTGTTAGTGACAGTTCATCTAACAAATATAATTAAACAGGCGGCTAGAACCAAAAAATGTGAAATATACAAATTACCTATGCTGAATAAATGAAGTAAAAGGCTCCGGCGTATAGAGAATGCGTCATGGCTTGCCAATGTCATGCTCTAGCACTTAGGTATGTCTTATTCTCCGTTGTTTCAAGAAAGATTTGACTTAATTTTATACAGATACTGAGATGACTCAATTGATATCCCTGATTCCTAGAGGTGATGTTGATATTGCACATAGTCTGGCTGAGGGTGAAAATTGAGATGTGCCGCTCGCGCTTGAGTATATTTAAACTCGACTTAGTTGTGACAAATGCGAACCGAATTCAACTGTTGAGCTTAAAATTTTGTTCAAATTTGGTTCAATAAAAGATTACAATCATTCGAACCGAACTCGAGTCTAAACCACTCTTTTCTCGAAAAAAAAAAACAAAAAATTAATTACGGATCTTAATGAACGCTCAGGAGTTGTTTGATAATAAAATTAGAAGTATACATAGACGAAACTACATTCGGGGTGGATCAAGCCACGTGCTTCTCCGGTTCAATTTATTTTTGCAATTTGAGCAAATTTAAATGAACCAAAACTGAATTGAGTTCAAGCCAAGTTTGTGTTACTCGGATTGTTTAACAGACCTAGTTCTGAACTTTGTTTGCCTGTTTGGGTCTGACCGAAAAGATGAGTGTCCTTATAAGTTTAAGCGTTGATTTCTGTTATGCTTTCTTTTTTTTTATTTTTTGGGCCCATTCTATTATGTTTGCTGATGTAAGATATGTTCGACTGCTATTCGGCCCATATACGAACGACAACTGGGTAGTTATATTGTGCTATATATATGTGATTCTATAAATTCTTTTAACAAATGAAGTTCTAAAAGAATGCTAACCTCTCATATTTTCAAAATGACAAGGAATATCAAAGGTGTTCTTGAATACAAGTTATTTGCCCTTCAAATAAAAAAAAAATGGCAATACCTGCCTCCCTCTTTCTCTCTCTGTCTCTGATGTTGAGTATGACGTAATTTTCATGTTTTTTTTCCAGCAAAGTAACACAATTATCATGTTACTAGTACAATATCTCGAAGTTCTTTTCCGGAAAAAAACACTAGGAACAGACTATAGTACCAAAATAAGTTTTACGTTTCTAGTGCCGTACTGAATGCCTTACAAATAAGAATTAAGGTGTTCAGGATCAATCCTAAAAAATATTTGGGATCGACCCTCACTTTTGGAGTCGATTTTAACTTTTTTATTGTAATCCGACCAACAAAAAAAAAATCATTACCAAAAAAACTGTTAACCTCGGCAAATTACCTTCTTCGTACCCAAGAAAATAGCCCTCAACTCTTAAGTAGGAACAAAACAACAGAACGTCGTCAAACATTTGAATTGAAGACGGTGGATGCAGACAATTTAATCATTACACAAATATAATATTCGCAACCAATGAAGTCAAAAAACACCAAAAATAAAACCAAAAGACAGCAGCTAGTTTTCATCACACTTCTACACATTGAGAAAGATGCATCAAACAGGCACTAGCCACAAGCTCTAGAACAAATAATCGCTAACAATGATTCCTTCCAACAAGAAAGAAAAGGTGCTAAAAAGCTGTGTAATTACCATAAACTGATTTCACTAATCACCTGTCATCTAATAGCCATCTGTCGACAAGTCCTTTAATACTCTAGTTAGAAACTTCGCACTTACGACAAACCTATCGCTTGGCTGGCATGCTATGTGCAGATCCAATGAAATTTCACTGTCAAACTCATAACATATCTTTGGCGAGGTTGAACTGGTCTGATGACCCCGTTTAATCACTTCTCCAGCAAAATTACAGCTTAGTTGTTTGGTAGCCAGCATGAATAATTCTCGACAAACCCCTGCAGTTTAAGACCTTCAAAAGCTTAGAGAAACTGACAGAGAGGTTTCTAAAAAATTATATACATGCAATAAAATTATGAAGGAGTAATGGACGGCAACCAGATGCCATCCTTAACCACTATAAATGCACATATGGCACATACAAATATCCAGGACACACCATCAGATAGAGCCACTTATTTAGATTTAAGCTATAATCTACATTTCTAAATACATCTGCTTTGCAGATCATTCACTTATTGTCAAAATTTGCAACACAAAAATAACAAGGGAAATCTGTTTCACTTATTTTTTTTTAGCACACTTATTTGTTGGGATGGAACAATTTTATTATGAGCCCAATTCTCAGCTGCATGCCATGCTTAAGGAAACACGATGATGGAGTTCAGGTCCCAAGTAAGCTGAAAAGCATGTTCACATGACTTGTACTTAATAAAATGGAACCATCGATCCACCAAATAAATTTTGTTTTGACAGCGCTTCTATCAAAACCTCGGTGCAGAAGCTTACCAACTACAACTCAAAAGGGAGCCTCAAGTGATTCATCCCATACGTCAGCACTTCCATTGGAGGCATCTTCAGCATCTTCCTCCATTGAAAGCCTAATGTATTCACGGTGTGCAAAGCGATCCCACTCTGTCAATGTTGGGTTCTCGCGCTCCTGTTCAAAATACATCATTGTTGTTGTTGTCAACAGTGATCAAGCATGTGTTTAGAGCATCTCCTAAGGCATGATCAAGCAATTGCTACAAACAAATGAAACGATTCTTGTACCTGACGAATCAGAAATGGGTCTCGTGTTTCGAAGGCCATGAATTTATTGAGGTTAAAAAGAATATTGAAAACACTGCCTGAAAGTCTGCTACCCTTCAAGTCACGTAATGTAAGATAGCTTTCGTTCTGCAAGTAAGGAAACCATAGTGTTATACATCATTATTGTTATCTAGATGATGCCAGCTACGAAGAAGGCAAGGCCTATTCATTGTAACACCACATGAATCGGCTCAAAATATCTGAAACTTTCATCACCATCTTCCCACGTGTATCTCAAATCTATTCAAATTTCAAACTAAAGGGTTCTTTCAGACCATTTTTTTATACATTAGAGAGAATACTAATAGAGATATGAGAGAAGAAATACGGATGGAGGACAAGTTATCCTCAAAAGAGAGAAAGAACAAACTAAAATACAGGAAACAGGAAATGGAACAACAAATGCAAAATTAAAATAAAACCAGGTCCCAGTCTCACGGAAAATCCGACAAATTGACAAAGTCCAGTGGAAGAGAAACAACCATGAAAATTTCTTGAATTCTCCTATAACCAAATAACTGCCGTCAACAAACAATTCCAAAGAACCTTAGCTTCTTTACTCTTCCAACAACCCCATACCTTAATCAAGGACAGACTCAAGCCTCTCCAGTCACATTAACATGTTATTCCACAAACCCCCAACAAAAAAACAGTGAATGAACAAATGGTTGGCTCTCCAATTTGCAGACACGTTAAGCAAATATCAGACTCGAAGCTTTGTAAAACCTTCTAATCACAACCAAATTCACTAAATACTACATGCACTGATGCTTTGATCATGAGCCTAAAGAAGTAACTGATTATAAGAAAAATCCAACCCAGCAGCATCTAGGAATGTCAAAGGATCCAAACACAGAATGTCTTTAACTCGATTTCTCTTCCCAGATAGATGTGTTAGTAAGGTTTCTGCTATAATATAGTGCATTCTTTAGATGGAGAACTGGAATTTTTTTGATTAGAAGATTGAACAAAAGTTCCGATCCAATTTTTAGACAAAAACATTCTATGCCTAATGTGGGACCAACGTTGCTGCTTACTGTAAGAATTGATTTGCATTTATTGGTAAATGAAAAAGGAAAAAGACACTCCAAAAAACCAATGTAAATTTGCAATCAATTATAGTGGCCATTAGAACAGAATTAAAAAGCACCGACAGACTCAGGACACATGCATAACACGATATGAACACAGACACTGAAAATCCTAAAAAACAAAGTGAGTGATGGACACTTCCACGAAACGAATAGCAAATTCCATATTAGCATATAATCTTATTTAGTTTGTACTATGTGTGTATACTGTATAGTGGTACAATATATGAAAATCTTATATCTATTGCGTAGCAACTTATGAAGCACCATATTCAACATATAAAACATCTCCCATGCCGCCACACCTTTAAACTTAATAATAATTACATATGAGTCTTAATTAAATAACTCTTCATTAATTTGCTTTTCATGCTAATAAGAAATCATCCCATCTTTCTGAGTCCTAATGTTCAAGAAATGTCAAACACATGTCTGAAATTAAGGTCTCAATATTTTACCATGGGCACAACTACAGACATGTCGGACACGTGTTTGAGTGTGTCCCAAAAGTGCCTGTGTCTGCCACACTTAAAAGTGTATGCTTCTCAGGAGATCATCCTTAAAATTACTTCGAAATACACCATGTGCACAAGAAATGATTGAACAATCAAATCACAAGAATCAAGGAATAACAAAAACTTTGAAGAATTTTAATAGAATAAAAGTAACCTCTGGTCCAATCATGTCAACTATCTGACACAAAATGTCCTCAAAAAGTACAGGCTCTTGAGCCATGCACTCCATTCTATGCAACTGCTCCTCATAAAAGAATTGCAATTCATTCCTTGTAAGAACTCCATTTCCATCTAAATCTATGCACTTGAACCTGATCAAGAATATTCAGTGTCACATGAAAATATCATTGAAAACATAATAACTTTCAATATTCAAAGATGGAAAAGTTGCAAGAATGATGTCAACACTTAGATCATCAATCTTCCAAAGATTCTCCCAAGTTGAAAAGATACCAAATTAATTGAAATAATCTAAATTAAATATCTTTACATGCTGAGTTTATGTTTTGAAATCCCAAGTGGAATGGCCAGATCATCTAGTCCCAGTATTGAAAACATAATTCCTTTTAAAACCAAGTGATTAACTTTGTGCTGTGTGCAAAAGGGCAAATATAGCTGACTAACTTTGTAAGTGTAAACATGAAACTTGATGAATCAAGAGAGCACATTAATTTTTTTTATTTATCAACAACAGAAAAAACTTTATTAATAATAAAAATATTACCACAAGGACAATAGTCCATCAAAGTATTACAAATAACAAAGATAAGCAAACAAAAAACAGATGCAATTTGCATATATATTTCTTATCTGCTATTATAAAAATTTAAGGGATTCCTGTAAAAATGACATGATCCCAAGCACAAAAGGATGCCAAAACAAAATCAATCCCACAAACTAATCTCTATTTGCACATCTTCAAATATTCTTGCATTTCTTTCCAACCATAATACCCAACAAGTTGCCATTACTGCAGATTTCCATAGAACCCGAGTTTTTTACTTCTCCCAAAGGCCCCTAAGTCAATCTCAAAGACTCAAACATGGCAGTACTCAACAAAGGCAGAGCCTAACCATCTCAACATATTTCGAAGTCTATTCCACAATGCAAAGGCGATCTGACAATGGAGAAAGAGGTGATTAAGATTCTCCTCGCTATTCTTTCTTTTTTTTTTTTTTGATAAGAAACATTGAATTCATTAATAAAAAGTCAAAATTATAAAGGACATATCAAAGTTGGATAAGACATCCAATCAAAGATATGAAAACATAAGACGACAAAAAACAATGCTAAGCAAGAGCAAACACTACATTCCACAAGATGCAAACCAACTCAAAATGATGCAAGAGCGAGGGATATCTTCAAAATCTTCAGTCACGGAGGCCCAAAAGAAAGCCAAAAGGTCAAGTTGTTCTCAAAGTTCTTCAACCTCCTCACATTTATCATTGAAAATCCTAACATTCCTTGCAAACTTCCAAAAAATAGCGTTACAAGCACAACACCAAAGGTTTTCCACTTCCTATTCCCAACCCTACTCAAAACATCCAAACAAATTATCGAAAACATGCTTCTTGGTGCCACCCCAGCAATGATCAATAAACCTAAACAACTAGTACCAAAGTAAAAATGCAACAGGGCAGTGAAGAAAGAGATGATCAATACTCCCCCCATCACCTTTACACATACACCATTGCGGTGAGAGACAAATTTTATATCTTCTTTTTTGAAGCACGTCATAAGTATTAAGCTTACCATGAGCAATTATTCATACCCAAATTTGCACCTTAAGAGACACTCTATATTCCCAAATCACTGTCGAAGGGTAAACAACGGAAGAGATGGAACATCCATTAAAGATTCAAAAAAGGATTTACAAAAAAAAAATACCATAAGAATCGATAGTCCAAACTCTTTGATCCAAAGAACCTTGAGTCAAAGAAAGAATTTCAACTACCTCCGTACATTCCCAATCATTAAGATTTCTCCGAAATACAAAATCCCAAGACAAGAAAGAAGAGTTTTGATGACTTAATGACACAATTTTATAGCCATAGAACAAATAAATGAGATAAAGACGAAAAAGATCTCACATAAAGGAGCCTCACCAACCTATAAATCTTTCCAAAAACGAATCCTAATTCTATCACCCACAATGAGCTTAAGATTTTGAGAGAGTTCGTAATCCTTGAGCAATAAACTTTCATGGACTTCGAAATCTACTTCTATCAAACCCACTAGCATCCCAGCCATTAGGTTGTAATTCATATTTGCTTCTACTAACGGAACACCACAACGATCCTTGTTCCTAAGAGAATCTACAAAGCCATTTCCCTACCAAAGCCTTGTTCTTTTCTAATAAATTTTCAATTGAAAGACCACATTTAACCCTAGGCCTAGAAACGATCTCCCATGAAATCAAATGATCCTTACTACCTTTCCTAGATCCTTCCCATATGAAATCACCATCGAGCCTTCAATTTCCCTTACAACTAAACATGTTAATCTAAATAGAGACATGAAATAAATAGGAACAGTAGTCAAAACAAACTGGACCAAAGTTAACCTACCTCCCCCAGAAATAATGGTTTTCTTCCATTCATCAAGCATTTTCCCAACCTTCTCAATAATCAGATCTCAGAAAGATCTAGACATCATATTACCACCCAAAGAGAACCCAAGATACTTCAAGGGCCAGCCACCCACAAAACAACCCAATTCAAAAGCCAATCTATGCATCTTATCATGAATAGTGTTAATTTCTATAACAACACTCTTCTCCATATTAACTTTAAGACGTAATATAAGTCCAAAAACCTTAACAACCTTTTTCAAATTTTGGATTTTCCATTCATCCTCCAAGAGAAAAAAATAGTATCATCCGCAAATTGCAAATGAGAAATCACAACCAACCATAAAACCCTCTACCAAATTACAATTTTTGCCTTGTCCATTATTCTACTCAAACCATCCACCACCAATGTAATTAGGAAAGGGTCTCAACCCCCTAGATACCTTCAATTCACAACTCTATCCCTATCAAACATAAAACCCTCAACCAAATCGCATATTTCTGCCTTATCCATTATTCTACTTAAACCATCCACCACCAATGTAAATAAGAAAGGGGATAACGGATTTCCCCGTCTCAACCCCCTAGATACATTAAATTTTTTTCCTTGGTCTTTTATTTAACATGACTGAAAAATTCATAGACTCCAAACAACTTCTAATCCAACTTCTCAACCTTTCTCCAAACCCTTCTGCCTCTAAAACAAAGTTAAGAAAATCCCAATTCACATGATCATAAGCTTTCCAAAATCAATTTTCAACACAATCCCTTCCTTACCTCTAACTCTATAATTCTCCACAATTTCATTTGCCACCAAAACAACATCTAAACTCTATCAAACCTCACAAAAGCCCCTTGGGACGAGCAACTTGTCTCACCTAAATATTACCTTAAAATTATTGAAAGAACTTTAGCAATGATTTTATACAAATTAGTAATCAAACTAACAGACCTAAAATCCTTCAATCTCAAAAAGTTAACTTTTTTAGGGATAAGACAAATAAAAGTAGCATTTGTGACTGTATTCACCACTCCATTATGAAAGAATTTCCAAAATACCCTCATCAAGTCATCCTTCACAACATCTCAATAAACTTAAAAAATGGTTACAATGAAACCATCCAGGCCAAGAGCTTTCTTCTTACTAAATTCAAAGTAGGTCCCAGACTCTCCTCAACAATATAAAGTTTTTAAAAAAAAATGGACCATCTCATTCTCAATCAAATTCTCATCATCAAAAATCAAACAATTCTCACTGTTCAGCTTCTCAATGACTTTCCTCAACCTATTACCATTAACAACCTTATGAAAAAAAATTGAATTACTATTACCCTCTTTAACCCACTTAACCATAGACTTTTATCTCTGACTAATTTCCTCTTTATACACCACTTCCTCAAATTTATTTCTAAACTCCTGCCTTTTCATTCTTATACCCTCCTCCAATCAACCTTCTTCCTCTATCCTATCAATATCCCAAATCCTCTTTGCAATGACCATTTTTGCTTCATGAGCATCCTCAAATACCTCTCTATTCAAAATCTTTAATTTCGACTTAACCTACTCAAGTTTATTCATAAAGTTGTAACTTTTTCATCCTACAGCCTCACCTTCAGACCACCACTCCCCAATCCTCTTTTTAAAGTCAACATGATCCACCCACATATTCTCAAACTTAAACAAGCAAGGTCCCCACCTATACTTAGCATCATGAAGCATAATACAACAATGATCCGAAACAACTCTAGTCATTCTCCTCATTGTCCTTGTACATAACACCCCCCTAGGGGAGCAAAGAGAGATGAGGTTGTCTCCTTTGAAGCAAATCAAAAGTAGTCCAAGATAAAACTTGAACTTTAAGGGGAACCTTTGCTTTCCAAATCATCTTAGAAGGGCCAATCAACACAACAACAAAGAATAATTTAAAATTAAAAACCCCAAAAGGAAGGAGAGACCACACTCTCCTATTAGAAATTGGGTGGCTCAAAATAACACCTTCTAACAACGATAAAAGGGACGACAGCTCACCAATCTCTCAATCATTGAGGTGTTAACATTGATCACAATATAAAGAGTTATGAAGAAAAGAAGGAAGTTTATTAAAGAGAAGATTATATCAGTCTCCAAAGGATAATACATCAAACATAAAAAAGCCTTTTTATATTAGGCAAACGAAAAAGAAAACTACACTAAACTACCCCTCCACCAATGTACTGAGTTGTCAACACCGATATACGCCAACACCCCATCCTAAAATTTAAATTTCAACTAATAGGAAGAGAAAAAGATGAGACAAAAAAAGCAATTGGCATACTATGATAATGGGGCAAACACTATAATCAAGCAAACACCGATGGACAGAGGTCTATCACCCCTCATATCCTCCAAAAATCAAATTAGTTCACCATTCCCCACAATGAAATTTAGAAACTGAGATAAAGAAGTCCAACCCTAAGATATAGATTTCCATAGGTTTCGAGCTATCCCCAATCCACCACATGAGAATCCCAACTATTACCTTGTAAATCATATTTTACTTCTAATCACATTATGCGACAAAGAATCGCACTCAATAAGTAATCTACTGTAAGACCCCATATTAAAAATTAAAATAAGGATAGTATTATCTTAAGAGTTCTCCTAAAATGAATAAAATGATGATAGAAAATTAGAATCATAGTAGAAAGATTGATTAAAAAGTTTGAGCTTTGCGCATATTTACGTTGAGATAAATTGAGTTTTGGAGATGTTTGAATTAAAAAGTGTGGTTAAGTAATTTTATCAATATTTTTAGGTTAAAATAAGATTTTCATTGAATCTAGAAGGTCAAAAAACCTTGGGAGAGGTAATATGAGGTATATTAGAAGTTAAGAAGTATTCTGAAATTAAAACCTATTTTGGAGTGGATTTAGGTAAAAAAGAATTTGACACAGCCTTAGTATTTTGGTTATAACTTTTTACTTTAATATCCAATGTAGTTGATTTTTGAAGAGAAGAAACTAGATTTCAAGGGATACAAAAGTGTATTTCACGAAAATTTCATGAATCGGCTTCTAACTAGGTCAAAATTGATATGGAAGTCGGGGGTAGACTGTCAGACGCATCTGGACGGGAGAAACACACGTCCGGACGCACTGGGCAGAAGTTGGATAATCTGTGTTGAGAGTTTTCTCCACTTTTGGTATTATAAATACCTAAGGAACGACCGTTAGGCCTAAGTTTAGCATTTGTTCATCCAAGAAAACCCTAGAAAGCTTAAGAGGAAGAAAGAGAAAAGACACGAGGAGGACTCTCGCTTCGGGATTGATTCAAGCACACTAGGATTATCTTCAAACATCGGATTAAAGGTAGGGGTTCTTTTTCAGATTCATTCATTGATGATTAGGGTTATATAATATATTTCTTTCATCATTATTATGATATAAATAATTGGTTTACAATGTTTTTACGTTCTTTTGAATCCATGACTCGTTTCTTGAACAAAATACATAATTTACTTCCATGATCTATTCTTCCTTAATTAAAAAATCATAGTCTTTATTACTATCAATTCAAATATATTTTTTTGTGGGATCTCTTGCATGTTTTGCTGAATTATTCTTTTAAAAAAAGTTATGGATCAATGATTCTTGATTGTAGTTGAATTTTATGAAAAATGTTGATTTTATCTCTTGTAATGTTGGGTGCAATGAACGTGGGTTATACTCGAATGCGTATCGCAGAGTGTTAAAGGTTTTTCTACCTTGAGGGGTTTGGTGGTTGCCTAACACTCGTAGGGGGTTTAATTTTTTGCGAGAGCTAACCACTATTTATCCACGTAAGTCCGAGACAGGGGGCTAATATACTATTCCTAGGAAAGGATACGTCAATACTAATACGTCGATACACGTCCTTCCTAAAGTGTTACAAGTGTTGTGGCCCTGCGGGGATTGATTTGAGATAGTTTGTATTGTGGGTGGACGAGATAGATTTGGTGTGTAGATTCACAGTAGTCAACCTACATATATGAGATATTATGTTGTGAGTTATGATTTTTGCGAATGATTCTATTCTATTATGAACTCTATTATTTTATACCGTAAATTTGAGATCTGATAAACTATTACTGTTTTACTTTAAAATTATATATATTATTTTACAAACTGTGACTTACCTGTTTTCATGATTTTTAAACCTTGTTTAGATTTGAGAAGGTTTTCCTACTGGGCTTTATTGCTCACCCTACCATAACATTTTTTAGATTTTAGTGTTGAGGAGAATCCACCATTAGATGAGCTGGTCGACCTCGAGAATGGAGAGAGTCAATATGAGGATCCTGAAATAGAGGCTTAGAGATACTTCATCTTAGTTTAGATTATTTTATTTGAGAGATTTCTATAAAACATTGTTTCAGCTAGTTTTAATTATTCCGCTGCTAGATATTTTTAGTTTTGAATTATAAGTTGAAGAAGTTTCAATGTTTTATTGGCTTTAGTATTTATTCCTTGTCAAATTGATGAATGGTTTATTACTTAATGGTTATTTTTAGTTACTCTCATGTTTGGACGGTTTGTAGATAGTAATGCCTTCCAGGATAGATTTTGGGGCGTTATATCTACACAACCACTTCGCCATTAAAGCAATGTTTCTAGCCCAAATATTGCCAACACTTCAATCCTATTTACCCCCAAGGGCAAGATACAATTTCCTACGTCACCTAATCATTCCTCCCTTAAAACTACCCATCCCATATCTCTCATCATCCTTTTAATTCCATTTACAAATTACAACACTTTATGGAATCTTAAAGAGGGACAAGTAGCATATGGGAAAGCTTGACAACACCGAGGGGAGTCTTTTCCTAATTTCCTAAGCACAAGAACCCAAAAACTCTTAGACCTAAGATTCCAAGCCAAAGAAAAGCTAAGAAATGTCAATGGACATTGATCAATAGAACTCAAAATTTCAATCAACGTATCAAGCATATTCTATGGACATGCGATACAATAATATACCAACCAAACAACTTTTAACCATGTTTACCCTCAATACCTGAATTAATTCAAAAATTTCGACTACCAAGTGCAAATTGACCATAGTACAAAGAACATAATATCATTTGCAAAGAACATAGAACATAATACAAAGAACATAGTATCATTTGCAAATTATAAATGATCAATGCCCACCCCATTTCTTTCAAGCACAAATCCTTCATACCTCCTCAGCGCTCATCATCAACCTACTCAAGACAGCACCCACCCGTGTAGACAAAAAAGGAGAAAGTGTATCACCTTGTTTTAGGCATCTAAAAGCATTGAAACGTCTTCCTAGTTTCCCACTTACAATCATTAACAACTTAGTTGAAGACAAAACATCCAAGAATTCATATCATCCGCCTATACCCAAACCCTTTTTCCTCTAAAACCATATCCAAAAACTCGTAGTCCACAAGTTCATATCTCTTCTAAATATCTATCTTGAAAACCACTCTTTCCTTCTAGTTATCCAAAGTCTCATTTGCAACTAACACCATACCTAGAATATGAACACAAAATTTGACCAGCCAATTGAATATCGGACGTTGTCATCTAAAACATTGTGCCAAGTCATAGTTCCCAGAGTTATTTTTTCGGGGATTATTCCTCATGAAAGTTTCCACCACCTTTCATGCTCTTTCTCTCTCTCTCAACATAGTCAAAAGACTAACATTATATTTACGGATACCAATAAAATAGACTTGAATTATGTCTAAAAAGGACAAATATGGATATGACATGATACAAACACATGGACACAACATTTCTAAAAAAAGTAGGACATATGCATGTCAAGGACAAGCCACGAATAATTGTGTTCTATATATCAAATTATATAACCTATCCCTATATAAAGACATAATTATAATATTGCACCACACAGTTAAATCAATACTTTATGAGAAGCAATTCTTATGTGTAGTCCTCTAATGTGAATTTTTCGAATAATCGATTGTAGTAATAAATAGTCTTCAATTTTTTCAAAGGCAAAATTTAGCAGACATACATAATCATCAAATTGTCTTCATTAGTACACCATTTATCCACGTTTCTCATTTATTAGTAAAGTTTATGTAAATCTTTAAAATCACATTTAAAATTTGACACTCGTGTATAAAACCAAACTAGCCCCGGGGATAATCCTCTTACCAAAAATTAGCAAACAATCATCAAATCCAATTTAATCACCCCCAACAATCCAGAAACATTATAACAGAAAACCATCTAGCCCTAGAGACTTATCACAGCTGCACTCAAAACTGGTCCTTTAATTTTCTCAACTTCAAACGGTGTTTCGAACCATCTGCCTTGAGCTTACATTAAAACAAGTCATATTGAAATTGATTTTCATACAAGCTACCCTCTTAGAGTTTGTTTCCTCCATACTAATTCAAATGAAAGTTACCAAGATGTTGAAAATCACCCACATCAGGAGGTGCTCTGTGGAAAGGCTAAAAATCAACATGATAGCATCTTTACTTTAATACTTTACTCAATACTCTTGTAAACGATTGCATATTTAGCTATTTATACATATCGTGAAATTATTGTAATTATGCTTTCCCACCCATGAGTAAATATTTCATAGTAGCCTCATTAGACCGTACATCTTTCTTGGTATATCCAGATAATATGTAGGAGCATAAACTAAAACATTTTGGAGCTATAAAGATAGTAATTAAATCGTTAGCACCACATAAAAACATTTCGCCCATAGTCCCTGTTAATATGAATAAGAGAAACTCTGTTATACTCATTTCAGTACATTTAATGTACTCTACAAATAGAGGAATACATAGAGTTGAACATAGTAAAAAAAGAAATTGAAAGATTTCGTTGAAATTATTCATTTAGAAATTCCCCGAAAAGCTAATCATAGGTTCTTCTCTCCATCGGAATAATAGGGTCGTTATGCTCATTACTAAACGTGTTAAAAAGATGAAATATAACCAAGATATATCTTTTTCATCAGAGGTTGAATCGATCATCAAAAGAAGAATTAGGCTAAAAAATAGGATACATTCTGGGAAAATAAAACTTCCATCGAAGAGAAGCAAATGAAAGGCTTTCATAAAAATTCTCGTAGAATCGATAATGAAGTTTTCGTATCAAAAGCAAAAGTTTAAACAAGAAACATATAGGAAATGGCATATCTAGCATAATTTTATTTGATACAGGTAGATTGCATTTGTACCTAACGGTTGATTGTTAAGCACAATATTAGTGAAGATAATAATCAGATGGTGAAGACATACCAGTACTCAAGACTAGGCTCAGATGATTTATCCTCCTCCGACAATATGAAGTAAACAAAATCTTCATATCCCATCTTTCCTTCAACCTTACTGTTGAACTTTCTCGGAACCTGCGATAAGAATGAACCATAAAGAAATTAGAGGACAACAGGAAGCAATCAATGATAAATATTCTTCTCATTTGAGCAAAGCAAACAATGTGGCCTAAAGAACGAAAGCACCATATAAATGACACAAACCTGCGAAAATATTCTGTCAACAATCCTGTAGGTAAGTGCATGGTTACCATATCTAATAAGGTTTTCTTTGTCAATCAAGAAATCATGATCGGTATCCAGCTCCCAGAACTTGCAATATATAACATAAAAGTGTTCATAAGAGAAGTACCTGTGGTGAAAAATGAAAATGTAAAAGGAAAATATTAAACGATAAAAGCAACTAGAAAGTAATACCAGATAAGTTATAACTAGCATAAAAACAGAACATGAATGAAATCTATGTATGATATGTTTCCCATCATAACTTTAGGAAATCTGCATGACATTCTTAATTTTGCTTTACATTGAGGATATTAGAGTTCTCTTTTCTATTGTTTCTATTAATCAGAATAGTCTAACATAGGGTAATATAGGTAATTGCTTCAATATCCTTCTAATGTAAATAAGTAATAGATTGGGAAACATTATCCTACACACAAGATTATTTTCACCATCTATCTATCTCTGCCCCCCCCCCCCCCCAAACAAAAAAAAAAGCACAAAATAAACAGACACACACAACTCTAATATTCGACTACTAAGCTTCAACTTGGTATTAGGGCATGATCCAAGGGAAGACAACATCAGGAAAAAAAAAATACAACAGATACATCCAAATAGAAGACAATGCTGCCACCGTCACTGATGGCATCATCACTATGATGACATCATCATTTTTTGACAAAGAGAACCTATGCATAGGGTCATCTCCTTAAGCTGCTATTATAGTGAATTTATTTTTTTATTTTTCGAACCTATTCAAATAGTTTTTTTTATGTTTCTCAGGAAAATTGGTATTGATTTTTTCAATCAATCACTTTTTTTGAACAATCTAAGCATCTTTTATGCTTCAATAGTTAAATTCATACCAGTGGAGTGCGACTAAGTTTTGGGGCAGATCATTTGGAGTGACTTTGTTGGAGTTCATTGGAAGGGAGAATGTCAAAAAGGATTTCTTGCAATGCAACGGAACTCATCCAACAAGTTCTCGTCAAGTCTACGTGGACTTCCTCATTAAGTCTAAGTGGTCGAGTGAATTTTGTTTTGAACTACCGCAAATTTGGTTCATAACTTTCAACTTAGTAGCAAACCCGACGCGACTGACTGATAAGCCAACATTAATAACAGGTCTAATTCTTTGATAAAAGAGCTCTATTTTCTAACAGATTTGTCCATTAGTAATGGGGATCACATTGGTGGGAATATAGGCCGATACATCTCCAGCTTGTGTTTCAATGATGGGTAATACGGTCAAGCTACCTGCGCCTGTCTTGTCTGATCATTTATCCGTTCTTTCTAAGAGACTCTACAAAGACAACAGATGGTCTCAACGGCTAAGCGCCGCTCTAATTCTGAGTTATTCCAACTTCTTCATTCTTTATTACCACAGTGAGCAAACAAAAATAAAAAAAGAGGGCCATCTCAGCAAAAGGAGGACCAGCAACAACAAAGACTACTAACCCTCTTCTGGTTTCTAGTTGTCTGTTATGAGTCTGGGAAGCCGCCTCAATATGAGGGATTCCTAAAAATAGAGAAGGGCGGGCAAAGCTTCCACAAGAGCCTCCCCCCTCTTGCCGGTCAAGATAGATGGTAAGGAGCCCTATCAAGTAAAGGTCATAACAAGTCTTTTTATTTATGTACGTACAATATTGGTTAATTGCAGGTGATTATTGCTTGAAGTAGTAGCATGCCTCTCAGCTATGTGTACAACCACTATTTAAACTTTTCTTTGGTCATGATTTGGTTCTTTGTAGGGTTTGGGGTTTTAAGTGCCATCTCTCAAGTGTGGGGCGTGTTCCTTGATAATTGGCGGAAAATCATATCAGTCTTCTTTTTGTTTGGTAAATAGTTGATTGTGGGCCCCTCCATGGTAACTCCAGATGATGTCAAAAGTCATCCACTAGATGATCAAGTGCAAAAAAATGTTACCTACGTCACTGAAAGAAGTCCTCCTTCGGTCTACAGAAATTGAGGACAAGTGAAGTGATAATTTTTAGTGACGACTTAGTTGGGGCTTACCATGGAATCATGTGCAGCATCCAAAGTTCAACTTCTTGATACACCCAAGAAGATATAGAAAGCTTTTGAGGAGATGTATTAACGAGAGCATAATGTGCCATGAATTTATAAACTTTAGTGTATCTATATAATAAAGTAAAGCATTCTGCTTGCTTTAGATAATAAAGTAAAGCATTCTGCTTGCATAAAGCATGACAACGGGTCAAATCATTTAGATCCAACACCTAATCTTGTGACTTACATTTAAAATTTTTAACCACAGTAAATATGATAACCATACTTTTTAATAACAATAAAATATTAACCTCCTACTTACATTTTAACCATGGTAACAAAAATGTGCTTTGCACTAGGGTACCCTAGTCTTTAATACAAACAAGATGATAATCTCTCTAGCTAAACTGCTAGACATTATCGTGTTTTGAAAACTTTGTGAAGAGAACCCACAATAATTGATTTAAAGATGTAGCCGCTGCAGCATGAAGAGCTTCAAAGGTGCTTTATTATTGTCAAGCCTTGTAAGGAAATTAATTATAACTGGCAAATTCCATGAGATCACTTGTACTTGTATCTCAACTAAACCCATGATCAAAAGGATTAACAAGATTGAAGACCAAACAAAAAATATGCAGAAGAAGCTGTAGAATCCCCATCAAGCTTATGATAGTAAGAGACCTAGATACCTAATGTCCTAGATTGGCATACCTTAGGTGATTAATAACAGAATTATATGTTTTAGGATTGTTGATCCGTAGAATGACACTCGGTATTTCTTAGATAAACATTTTTGAAACTTCGAGTGTTTGTTTTGACACAATACAAAAGTCATGGAACAGAAGCTTTTTAAATATCACACGTTGGTACTTAAATGGTTGATAAGAGCGTTGGTTTTAGTTTGGAAGCAAATGACGAGCCTGGATTTAATTGGGCTAAGCCCAATTGATCAAGCAAGCCCAAATCCATTAGAAAGGCAGGCCAAGCCCGATTCATTAATCCAACCCAGTCCAAGATTCAAGGAGTTCAAGAAGATAAGAGTACGTGAGAGAGAGATTATCAGGATACCCACTCTCAAAGATCAAAGCTATCTTAATTGTACTTACCTTCTGTAACTATCTTCCCCGAAAAGCAAGTGCCCTTACCCTCACATCACCACCTCACCATGCCTATAAATTGTAAACTTTTTCCATTGAAAGAGGCATCTCACTACACATTGAGTTTTGCCACTACACCACTCCACACACATTCTCTCTCTCCAAGCTGTTGTATCTCTCCTGAAACTAACCATTGCTCTCACCCCCATTCACCATACTACATCAATAAAGATTCCCCGACCACCGTTGTCGTTTTCCAAAGTAGAGTAGGTCACCCGGACCGAACCACTATATATCTGTATGTTAACTCAATATTACATTTCTGTCATTGATTGCTTATTTATTGTCCATTAATTACACCTTATCACACACTCGACTGTTAATCATGCACGAGACTATTTTGTACATCATCAATTGTGTACTAATTATGATTTTTTAAGAAAAAAATTAGATTTTTATTTTTGATTTTATTTCAATAAATGTTATAATAGAACATGAATTTTGGTTGTAAAATTTAAAATATTTGATATTTTATCTTTGATTGAAATATTTTTTGTCTAAGTATAACATTTTAAACTTGAAGAACCTAAGTACTACACGTTTACAAACTTCAGAAGATTTGAGTGTAATTTACTAACGGATATAATAATGGACATTGATGACAAAGGTCTAAGTATTACGCGCGTACAAACCTTAGGGAGTCTGTATGTAATATTTTAAATTTTAAAAAGTCTAAGTGATTAAGTAAAAAACCTCAGTGAGTCCGAGTGTAATTCTCCCTAAAAGTTGTTTCCTATTGAAAAAAAAAAATGGCTTCTCTTATCTCTTTGTTGTTTTACATCGTGGTGTCCTCTGTTTTAATTTCTAATTCCTCCAAACATGTCATCAAATCTCCCCAATAGAAACTAACTATGGATAAGAAAATGAATGTTATTCATGAAAACCAAACAAGGAATCTCACTCATCTTCCTTCTAGAAGAAGCATGTTAGTTGTGGTAGTCTACATTGTTATTTATCATCAAGATTGTTATGTTAAGCGCATGGAAGCACGATTAATTGTCAAGGGCTACATCCAAACATATGATGTGGATTACTTTTGAGACTTTTAAATCATTGCACTTCTTAGCATTATTACAATTCTTACGTTGCAATGAATTTTGATTGATCTTTATATCAGTTGAAATAAAGAATACCATTCCACGCGGGTATCTCTAAGAGGAAGGGCATATAATTCAACCACTAGGATATGTTGTTTCTAAGGAAGACAAAAAATATGGTGTTTGAAGTCTATATGGCTTGAAACAATCGTCGCATGCATAGTTTAGTAAATTCATTATGACAATTAGACAACTATTATCATTCCTAGTAATCCCGTGTTTAGGAAGCGTACAAAACGTATCAAAATCGATTGTCATTTTATTCGAGATCCAAAAGAAGATTATCACTCCCTATGTCAAGTATAGTGATCAACTGGGAGATATTCTTGTCAAACCATTTGCTAGGTCCACCTTCACTAGTTTTTGTTTCAAACTAGGATCTTTTTATCTCTAAGCTCCAACTTAAATATGAGTGTTAGAGTTCTTCTCTTCCATTATTTCTATTCTTCAAAACATTCTAGAGTAGGGTAATCAAGTAATTACCTCCAACATCTTTTGGATATAAATAAGAGAAGAGTGATGGGAAACAGTATCCTAGACAAATTATTTTAAGAATCTCTCCTTTTTCCTCTCCTTTTCTCCCAGACCCTGATACTCCAAAAGTGCAAGCTTCAACTGGGAAGTTTGCAAATGAAGCTATCTGATCAACTGCTGTGGAACACATTTCTTATTACTGGTAAGCTATCCTAGAAACCACACCGACTTATTAGACTGACTCATAAACATAGGTTGAGAAGAGCAGGTTGCAGGAGCTTTTGCATGCTTCAAGCAAACTTCATACATAAAATGAACTCAAAAATTAATCCAAAAAAAAAAATTTAAGTCAAACCATTGGCTATTACTTGCTGCTTTTTAGAGCTTTCAGCAAAGAATGGTTAGAGAAAAGTATAACCCCCAGGAAAGAGAACTCTCTAGACGCAAAATCAGAATTTTGAGATTTCTATCCATTGACCAGTTAAGCCAAGTTTTCAGCGGCTATATTTACCTCAAAACTTTGTTGATGTCCTCTTCTTCATCTGCATGTAGCATTGCAGCAATTAAGTTTCCGCGTTTCAGCTCCCTGAGGGTAAGATGTCCATTGTCCGATCTATTCACGTAGTAAAATATTCTGTATATTACGGTTTCAGCTGGCCAATGCAATAAAATTAAATGTCAAAATGAATCAAAAGAGTATGGCTTCTTATAGGGCACGAGGAAGTATAAGAACAAATTTGAATGTAATTAACAGTGATTCAGGTCAGAAAAGATTTCAGCACTAGCTATAAACTAAAACAACACTTGCCTCAAAGCTCATGTAAGCAACACAACGGAACGAGAACAGAACCATACCAAAAGTAAAAGGAAACAAGAGCAGAAATCTACCAGAAAAATACAGAACAATTAATTTTATGGTCTTACATCGATAATTCATTTTCAATAGGCCCCTAAAACTTTTAAGAGAACACGATTGTTACCAAGCTAAAACTTATTCATCCCCATCCACTTGACATATATTAGAAAAGAAAAAATTAAATGAAAACAGCATCCACAAGGGCAGCACTTTGATTTAGACAACTTAAAGTTCTATGAAGAACTTTGTTGTTTGGAATGTAATGTTTCTGATGTTCTACCAGAAGCAGAAGGCAAGGCAACTCAGATTTATAGCGAAGGAAACACAATCCCATCAAATAGAGGCACAAGCAAAAGACCTACTAACTGATTCAGAACATACCATATCTTTCTTGGAATTCTGGTGTGCTCTGTAAGAACTCCAACCCAGGATGAGTTGCCAAAAGTTCTCGAAGGAGGGGTTTGAAGTCATCCTATTATCAAGTTCACAAACAGTTTTTAAAGTGAGAAGGGAAAAAATTAGCTAATAATCCCCAACCTAATTATGGCATACAGGAGGACAATTTCTGGGTCACAAAAGCAATGAAAGTAGTACATTCAATGGATATTACAAAGATAATAGACAGTAATGAATCCATGAGTTTCAATCAAAAACAACAAAGATAAAATGAAATGGGAAAAGCACCTGAGTGAGGTATTTGAGATCTGGCTGCTTCAAGATTTTAAATATTTGAGTTGCCATATCCTTTGTCAACATGTTGCCATTGACCCAATAGTCGACAAATGTATCCCTACATTCGTGTTAATAGGTGAAGTACGAAAAATACATACAACTGCTCATGACAAATCATTCCACGGTACTTAACTATGTAATATGGACAAATTAATAACAGCTGACTGTTCTTTCTTTTCCAAAAGCAGCTCATTATGTTCCATAATTAGCAACATCGTGTTCCAACAATCTTTCTTTTTTTGCTTATTCTTAATAACAGAGGGCATCCACCAAAGAGCATGAAAGAAAAGGGGGCAAAACCATACTGTATACATAAAGCAGCTATTTTCCAGATACACAACCAAAAAGATCCACTGGACATCAATACGATGGAGTCCAGGACATAGTCTTCTGCAAGGGGAAAAAACAGAAAGAAAGAACATCACAAAGGCTCACCTGTTCCTTTCTCTCCAAAGGAACGACAACAATATCTTTTGGGGCACTGCTTGCCATATCTTCATCGCTTCCTCCCTTATACCCCCCAACCTCAAACCCAGCATAACTCTAAGAGCTGAAAAACGAGGAAACACATGACTCCACAACTCCCAAATACCCCTACAATCAAGGAATAGAAGATTGACACACTCCCCCAACTCCTTACACATAAAGGACCAATAAATGTGGATCTTACCCCTGCACTCAAGCTATCACCCCACCCAGCATTACAACATTCGTAAAAAAAAAAACAATAATTTGAAACCTGATAGAATCTTCATAAATGCAACAAGTCCCTAAACTACAGACAGGTTCTAGACTCTAATGCACATAATAGAAATAAAAAATGAATATTATCTATTAGACAGCAGTTATACAGTTTATGAGACGTGGGTGTTTATGAAACAATATTCTGGCCACAATATCTCATTTTGATCTCAGAGGATCCCATGTCAACGTCCTGTCACTGTAGATTTCTAAAATGCCTACAAGTGAGAGGAGCATAGAATGTCTACACTAAAAACTTAAAATACTATCATCTTTATAAAATCTTTCAATTTGAATAACCATGGCATCATCTGCTCCTTACAACACAACAACTAAAGAAAAAAGGGATGATTACTGACCAAAATATAACTGGCACATGTTCCAATAAATTAAATAATCATAAATGTATTGTATAGGACACTATATAGTGGTTAAAATATCAAATAATAGTTACCATCTAAAAATTGTATCTAAGATATAATCAGCTCCTGTCACTTGGCCAAATGAAAAATACTATATGCTCAGAAATAAAACATCCATTCAGATTATTTTCTACTCTTTTTTGGTAGTGGCATCTCCTGCTCCTTCGTTAGGAGAATGTGTAGAGTTGAAGCATTCTAGGTGGCGGGGGTTTCCCACCCCCCCCCCCCCCCCCTTTTCCCCCTGATGGGGGACATGGCCCATCTGATTTTTAGGAAATTGCCTCTTAACCTTTCAATTTTTACTGTCATGTACGAAGATATTGAGATGTCCATCTAAAATATTGACCTTCGGACTTTAAACCCCCATCCGCACTTTTAAATAATGCCTGGGCAGGCATTTTACACTCAAGTACAGAGGAACTACTTAGTATAACCTTGATATATCTTGAATCCTTGACAATCTTTTTCTTCTTTCCCCCCCATAAGTTGAAATTCTTCACAATCCATCTTTTTCTTCTGTTAGGAAGCATGGATACTGATACAATACAATACGGATAAGGTAACTCGACAAAATCCTAAAAAATAAGATACGAGTACGACCGGGACATGTCTATAAATATATATATTTTATATTTGTATTATTATGTAATGACTATAAATTTTAGTGATTCTTTAACAATAATAAATAACATTAACAATTTTTTATTTTCAAAAAATTACCTATCGTCTCCCTATGGTACATTTACAAAATGAATGTAACTAACTAAAGAAATAAGAACCAACATTTGACTAGATTGGTTGCTTAAAAGTATTTGTTGCTACGATTATAGAGTAATCAACTCATTTATACTCTTTAGACATGTGATACTTGGATAATGGATAATCAACTCATTGCTTAGAAGTATTTGTTGCCAATAGATAATACTTGGAAAACACACGTGTGTCCTGTCTTCAAAGTCATATGAATTTTTGTTGATGTATTGCAATGTATTTAAAATCAAAAGGAAGCGGTAATGATTAAAACTAAAAATTACATATACTTCTATATGTGAAGTATCCACATACTTACTGGATACGTTTGGTGTATATCCGATACGTATCCTCGAGTATCCGATGAGTATCATATCCTATACAGTATCCAATATGAATACGTCGACCTTAACGAAGTATTCGTGTGCTTCATAAGTCTTTTGTGAAGCATCGACAAGTATATGGATGTGACACATCACGGACATGAAGACACAACAAATCCTAGAAATATATGACAAGTAACCAACTATCCCTACATCAAAATAAAGAACACACATTAACTTCATAGCAAATAATAACCCATTCTTATCGACAAGATATTGTAAGCATACATAATTATAATTATTCTTCTCAGCCTCTAAAGCCCTATTCTATACTGTAAGGTTTTATCTTCTGTTATTTTTCTGTAAACTTTTAACTATAATATTTTATACTAACAATCATACATTTACCCTAGGTACAAGATTGTTATTTAGCAACTTTTCATAACTTTAATAATCACCTGTCCACATGTTTATTTTTTAGTCATATAGTCAACCTAAGAAGTGTCAGCCACATGTAGAAAATTAAGATTTTTATTTTCTAATTATGGACATTGTCAAAAGAATATCAGATGTCCAAGGAGTTTACGTGCTATGCGACTTTCTCCATAATACAAGTATATTTTCCAAAACAAGGTGATCGATTAAGTAGAGCTTTAAGATTTACTCACTATATGATCATCAACAACAAAAAAGCCTATATATGAGATTTAGTCCACTAACATACAGGTTAGAGATGGCTTTTTGAATCAAAAGAATTATTTGCAATTAGAGGAGAAATTTTCTTTTATCTCATGTTTAATTGGCATCACCCAACTTAAGAACCATAGGTGCACCAAAAAACTAAAACCAATGTATGTACTGTAATCCAAATTAGAATAGTAAGGATCAAAGATCAAGAGATATCAACGAGTGAAAACTCCCAATATTTGGAGTCAATTATCCATATGGAATGTGAAATTAGAGAATATGGTATTCATAGAATTAAAGCGCAATGGACTAAGTACATAAATGAATATAGTGTATTGTGTTATTGGTGCATACCTCTGAAAGCTAAAAGGCAAATTTTACAAAATAATCATAAGACCGGCTATACTTTATAATACCGGATGTTGACCAAACTCACTCAACAATTAAGTGTGGCGGAAATGAGAATACTAAAATGGATGTAGGATAAAATCAAAAATGATAGAATTTGAGATGAGTATATTCGTGAAAATAGCACCAATAGAGAAAATTAAAAAAGAACCACCTTAGTAGGGTTGGGCATGTTTATACAAGACCTATTAACACACCACTAAAAGACACTGATAGTAATACCTATTGATGGTAATACAATAGGTAAAAAGAGATTGAAATTAACTTTAAATATGATAGTAAACAAATAAATGATAGTATATGGTTTAACAAGAAGAAATATGGACCTTAATATAGCACAATAGCAAAGCACTGCCTATGTCGTCGACCCCAAATAGTTACAACAAAGATTCATTTAGTTGAGCTGAATCGATATTCAATGGTGCAACAAAATACTTAGTCTTACAATAGTGTTCACAAGTGTTAAGAATAGTAGGGTAGTATGTATAAATTGTTAATAGTAAGAGGGTGTATGTATAATTCTTATTATTGTAAGTTAACTATAAATACATGTGATGTATGAAAGTTAGGTTAAGTTTTTAACCTCTCCCGCTTTGTCTCTAATATATTATGTTAATCCTCCAAACTTAACATGGTATCAAAGCTTAAACGATTCTAAATATATGAACATTGTTGTGTGGTGTCTGTTGATCGTGTGATTTCTGTTCGCCCACTAGCGTCGTTCGTGGCGGTTGTGGTGTGTGACGGCGTGATCGCTTTTGGTGGTGGTGTGGCTTCTATTCACCGTCGAGTATGGTTGTGGTCCCTGTTGGTGTGGTGGCGTGATAGCTTGTGGTGGTGGTGTGGATTCTGTTCATCGTCAAGTAGCATTCTCCGTGGTAGTGGTGTGAATGTGGTGGATGTGGTGGGTGGTGACCGCAGTGGTCTTGCTGTTGTCGGTTTGTGGCGTGTGTTGTTGTCGCAGACTAGGGGGAGGCTTCTTGGAACCCTAAGTAGCGAAGAAGAAGAGCTCCAGACTCACTCGGGTTGGTTCGGATCGGGTCAAGCCCAAGACTTAAATTGTTTTTTAAGTCCAAACCCAGTTCAGCCCACGCTTCAACTTGGACCGAATCACGGGTCAAGCCGGTTCAGCCCACGGTTCAGCTTAGACCGGATCACAGTTCAGGCCCGTTCAAAAGTCCAGAGAGACTAGCCGATCCGGTTCAGAGGTCAAGAGAGTCTTGCTGGCCCAGTTCAGTGGTCCAACCTGGTTTTCCAGCCCGGTTCAGCCGTCTAAGTCCACTTTTCAAGCCCGGTTCAATGGTCCAGTCCACTTTTCAGCCCGGTTCAGTGGTCCAGTCCATTTTTCCAGCTCGGTTCAGTTGTCCAGTCCACTTTTTCAGGCCGGTTCAGTATTTCAGTAGCCTTGTTCAGTCCGGTTTATCACTCCAGCAACCTTATTTGGTCCAGTTCGGGCCCCTAATACACGGTTTCTCTTTTTTTCTTTGCTCCTATCATTGCTATATTATTATGGAACCCAAGAATAAAAATGATGATAGTCAAATTGATCTTATTTCATCCACGTCCCCAAATTTTTCTCATACGGTTCTACTTAATGGTCCCATGACATCTGTTAAACTCAATGGGACCAATTATGTTTTGTGGTCACGATCTGTTCAAGTGTTTCTTAGAGGTAAGGGTTTTAAGAAATATTTAGTGGACACTAGACCAAGGAAGGTACTCCTGGGTATAATAAGTGGGAACAAGAAGATGCTCAAATTATTTCATTGCTATTGAATAGTATTGAGCCCAGTATCAGTTCTACATTGCTTTATCTCGACACGGTCAAAGAAATCTGGGATCACTTGGCCACCATGTATTCTGGCACTAGGAATTTCACTCGTGCATATTAAGTATGCAAATAGTATTTTCGTCCGGAGCAGGGTATTCTAAGTCTTGAGGACTATTACTCTCATGTTCGGGGAGTGTGTGAGGAGTTGAAGCTCTATCATCTCTTTACTACTGATGCAGTGGTTTGACAGAAGCAACATGAGGATTTGAATGTTGTTCAGTTTTTAGATGGTTTGAAACCTGAATACGAGTATATTCGTTCTCAGATTTTGGGTGGCTCTAATCTTCCATCTCTACTAGAGGTCTTTCTCAGATGCTGATTGGACTGGTTCTCCTTCTGATCAAAGATCAACCACTAGTTATTGTACTTTCTTAGGAGGTAATATTGTCTCATGGAAAAGAAAGAAACAACCCGTGGTAGCAAGATTCAGTGCTGAGGCCGAGTATAGGGCAATGGCCCATACGACGAGTGAGTTGACTTGGCTCCTACACTTTCTCCTGGAAATTGTGTTTTCAGTTCAACTTCCTTTACAGTTATTCTGTGATAACCAGGCAGCTATCCATATCACTGTCAATCTTGTGTTTCATAAGAAAACCAAACATATTGAGGTTGATTGTCACTTTATTAGGGACAAGATAGTAGTTGGGGAGATTACAACTCCATTTGTGAAATCTTAAGATCAGCTTGCAAATATGTTTACCAAAGCATTGAGTCGTACACGTCTTACAGTTATTTGTTCCAAACTTGGATTATATGATATATATAGTCCAGCTTGAGAGGGAGTGTTAAGAATAGTAGGGTAGTATGTGTAAATTGTTAATAGTAAGAGGGTGTATGTGTAATTCTTATTATTGTAAGTTAACTATAAATACAAGTGATGTATGAGAGCTAGGTTAAGTTTTTAACCACTCTCTCTTTGTCTCTAATATATTATGTTAATCCTCCAAACTTAACAACAAGATTACTGATAAAAGATTTAAGAATCATAATGATGCATAAAATCAATAAAAATGGAGATTCAAGATAAAATGATAAACTTGTATTGAGAATCACATACCTGGTTACAATGCCAGTGCAACCAACATCAATCTTTCTAAAAAGGGCAGTCGAGAAGAACGATGGCAGCTTGCAAATTTCCTTGGTAACTGGTTTAAATTCTGACATCCCACCAAAAATTATAAATAAAATATAAATAAGTCTGTATATGTATGTTTGATAAATGTGTATGTTTCAAGTGTATCTCACCATGTAATTGTAGCCCATCCATGTGACCATAAAAGAACTGATTGATTCTAAACAAACATCTCTCTTTTAGTTCATTTGGAGGTGGGCGACCATTTTGAAAGTAGAACTGCAACCATTGCACGTATTTTAATCAAAACCAAAATTCAAATGACCTTTATTTACAAGATACCACACACAAGAGCAGCACTCCAAAGGTAATAAACTAGTAATACAGCACTCAGACACAGACAAAAACTTATCAAAGATTCTTCAGACCTGAGGTATCAACTCTTTAACTGGCTCACTCACTAATTTTAGAGGAGAGCCTAAAGCAGAAGGGCCTGTCCTTTGTTTCATGACACGAGGAGAACCAGATGAACTTCTTGGTGAAAGTGGAGGTGCACTGCCAGCAGGAAACATGGAAGGCAATGAATTGTTTGCAGCAGCATTTGTGCTAGATGATGTTCCAGAGGCATTTAAGGGAACACCTGCCTTAGCATTGCTAAGCAAAGAATTTACCTGCAGTTACAGAATGAGAATTGTAACATAGGTTGCTTATATTTATATCTATACTATTAATGAAAGGCAGCTAACATGAAAAACTTCTAATTTCCTCTTTTAACCTTCAACAATTCTATAAAGTCACGTAAATCCTAAATAATAAATACTTGGTGTTCACAAGTCTATTCGAATTACCTACTTGTGTGTTAATCTACCCAGTTTATAAATGCAGCTTGGGATATTAAATTCAAGCAACCCATTCTAAAAGTTTACTCTTGGGAGTTACATTGTGAGGTAAAGAAATATCAGCGGGACTAACAGCGGATTGTTAAACCTTTTAGATTTGATGAATATGAACAAATATTCAATTGCAGTTAAAGTATGAGTTATCAAATGGAAGACCAAAAGCCAAACTGAATACACAGGCATCTTACTGGTGGTTTGGCTTCTCTGGTTGTTTTTATTCCCAATGGCCTTTGCAACATTGGGTTTTCATCTAAATCTTCTCCGTGATTTCTCTACTGCTTTCTCTTTGCTTATGTGGATACACGTTTGGGTTCTCTAAGACCACCAATTTTTTTTTGCTAAATTAACACAATCAAGTTCTTTTGATTAAGTACCTTCTTTCTTTTCAAAAACAACTTTCCCCATCCTCTGGTTTTTCATGCATGTATTGCCCATTATCTGTTCTTGCATCCATATATTGATGTACATCATATGTGATTGTTTGATTTCAATAGTTTGAATCTTGTTTGAATATAAGAGATTAGTGCAAAAATTGAAGTTCAAGACCTTGATTTAGGGAGTATGAAAAAGAGATGAAAGTTGAAAAAGTGTAAGTTCATATATAGAATAATTTAATGATGCACTAGAAGTCTGGTTGTAACTCATTGCAAGAAGGTAAGAAATAAATTTTCTTTTCTTTCTTGGATATTTAGGATTGATGATTGGATACAAGAAGGGTGAATGTGCATCTAACACTTGAGTGGTCACCAATTCTTTAGGAACAATGTATAAAGATTATTTATCCAATTATCAAACCAAAACTCAAGGTCCATGTTGGTGTGATAATATTAAACAAAGAAAGGAGATGATGAAGGGAGCACATATATGTAACTAGGGGTGTCCAACTAGGCCCACGAAATTTTTTTCGGGCTGGGCCTGGCCAGGCTTCTGGTAGGGGTAGGCTATCCGCAGCACAACCCGCAATCCTATTGGATGAGCCTCCGAGTCTGTTGGCAGGCTTTTTCTGTATACAACTTCATTTATAAGTAATGAATATCTTTGTAACTTAATATTTTTGTAAATTATATTTTTGAATTACAATTAGAGTCAAAATGGACAAAAAATAAATAATTAATAATTTTATTTATGAATAGGGAAGGAATTGCATCATAATAGAATGAGCACATCCTAACTAAATTGACACCTACCAATCTATCTACCATTTGCACAACTCTACCTTTTAAAACATATATGCTTAATACCCATCATAAGATTTGATTATATCTAAATAAAATTCCAATTTTCTCCGAGGTTTAATTATGTGGGTAGATTGGTACATTGGACAATGGGAGCTGTTACATAAGAAGCCATATCATGGAAAACAATGATCACCGGGAGTACCAATTAACATGGTAGTTCCACGTCGTGGTTTAGCCTACCATGATTTACATAGTTTCAAAATTTAGGGTGGTTAGGGTAACAAATGATTTATCTCTCTTCAATAAATAAATCTTATTCGCACCAATACGGACTCTCTTTGTCTAAATAGTGAACTCATTGAAACTTTGCAAATTGTTAAACCAAAACCTACAAAAAATCAAGCAACTGGCGGTTCAAATGATAACGGAGATATTAAGAAGATTTACGATTCAACAAACAAGCAAAAGGATACAAAACAAAACAATAGCTATCAAAGAAAGAGGACAGAGCAAGTAACACTGAAACTTTTACTTAATTTCACTCTCTATTTTCAAGTTTGGTCAAAGATGCCTTCTAATTTTAAAAGAGGTGCTTCATAAAAAAAAGGAACAATTAGAGATGTTCTAAGTACTTATATATGTTAATATGTTTATTTAGCTATTTTAATTACAAAAATTAAAACCACAATTATAACTGAACAAGTTAACATGCATTATCCACATGCAATGCACATGTGCATTAATTAGTAATTGTTTAAAAGCAAAAAATTAAAAGGATAAGTAGGAATTAGAAATTGCAAATGACTACATGCAATACATAGGACTCATTGCGTGTAGTGAAGTCGGGGGCAAAGAAAATGACAGCTTTGATTAAGATCATAGGCGAAGATTTTTTTGATTTCTTACTCTAAACTGTGAAAAGCTGTCATTTTACAAGATTTTTTTTTACTCTAACTAGCCAAACGGCGTCATTTCTCATTGGTTTTTTTTCCTTTTTGGATCGGTCTCAAACAAAAAATAAAAAGCCCGCAATCATCTTCGTCTTCTCCAACGATCCTATGTTGCTTCTCCTCCTTCTTACCCTTCTTCTTCTCCTCCTCCTTCTTCATCGTCGTCTTCTTCTTCATCGTCGTCTTTTTTAAATATACAAAACCTGCGCTATATTTCAATCTTTATCGCAAAGACGACGGATTATCTTGCTGCCGCAAATACGCATCACACAAAATGATAAGTTAGTTTTTATAATTTTTTAACAAATCACTATCCAACATTTTTGGAGTTAGTTTTTTTTAACACCATATAAATAATATAGGGTTAATAGCACTTTTGATCCCTAAAGTATACATTTTTTGTCAGTTTAATCCTCATTGTATCAATTTTGTCAATTTGGTCCCTAAATTATTCAATTCGTGTCATTTTGTTCCCTACATAGACTGATCATAAAATTTTTGCCGAAATAATCGTGTTGAGCACATGATACCGTCTAAAAAATGACACGTCGTCAGTTCGGTCAAATATTTAACGGATTGTCTAATTAAAGACCAAAGTAACACGAATTGAACATTTTAGAGACCAAATTAAGAAAATTAATACAATGAGAACTAAACTGACAAAAAATGCATACTTTAGGGACCAAAAATGCTATTAACCCTATATAATATATTTATAGGTAAATGCAGTTAGTATTATGCTTTCAAACATAGTAGTCAAATCGTGTATCAGAACGTGTATCATTTTTTAAAAATAGTGTATCGTATCGTGTATCGTAAGATACGGTATAATTTTAAATAATTAATAATAAAATATATATTTACAAACTTTAGAGTGTCTAAATGTAATTTATTAACGAATATATTTACAGTTAGGGTCTAAGTGTTACGTGTGTATAAATTTTAGAGGGTCTGTGTATAGTATTTCAAATGTTAGGGGGTCTAAGTGATTAAGTAATAAACTTCAAGGGGTTTAAGTGTAATTTTTCTTATTTTAAAGCATAGTCGAGACTGTAAAAAAAAAACGAGAGAGAACAATCAAAAGGCAAAGAGAGAAAAACAGTGATCGAGAGGCAACGATCGATTCACGTATTCTAACAAATATGCAACACATACACTCAAAAACACAAGAACAAATTGATCGAACCTGGGCGATAACAACAGTGACTGACATTCCAGGGGGAAATACGAGAGCCTCAACATCGTTCTCCAATTAGGACTCCAGGGTTTCGACGACTATTCGAAACAAGACGAAATTGATGATAGGAACACTTGTGTTGGTTCAGAGATGTCTATAACAGGTTTCTTCTTCTTTTTCTTTTTTTTATCGATGAGGGTAGTGATGGGCTTTGATTTTGGAAGAATTTCGGTCATTCCATTGGAATCGTCGGTGATTGCGACTGATTTACCAATAAAAAAACAGAAACTTCGCGTATCGTTCGTATCGTAAAAACGTATCATGTATCGGACGATATTATGCAAAAACGATACAAAACTCCGATTCGTATCATTTTACCTCTGTATTGTGACGTATCGTACAATACTAACAACTATGTTTTCAAAATTAACTATATTTAACGATAGGTGATATGTTCCAAACTCACAATAAGAGATGAGAAACGATGCATGTTTGTCATAGGTTCAATTAACTCTCCAACCGAAAATTACATACAAGCAGTAGAAAGAACATAAGTTCTATATATGAAGAGTTAAAAAGGCATGTCGAAACGCACGAAATATTTCGGATTCATAAGAAACCGAAGCGAAACAAGGTAGAAGTCTGCTTCGGTTGAAACAATAGAGTTTCATTCTATTTCGAGCGAAACTATGTCGTTTCGTCCAAAATCGAGACATGATTCAACCAAGAATAGAAGAGAAAAAAGAGCGAGATACATCACCTGAAAATTAAGAGCCCTTGAGTACTACAAGAAGAAGAAGTCAAAGACATACGGACACAACCCATCCAGATTTGGCCACGTATGTCTTCTTCAATCTCTTCATTTTCTTCTTCTTTCCTCCTCCTCTCCTACTTCTTTTTCCCCAAAGTCTCGTAAGAGCTTTGTTGTCTATCAATCAAACAGACAATCTTCACAGACCCAAGGCGCACTCTCTCTCTCTTAATCTCTCTCTCTCTCTCACGGGATATGGATAGGCACTAATTAACAAATTGTAAGAGAAATATGTAGTACTATTGCTAATTCCTTTTAGAATAGGAAAAACATATTGTTCAATTTCCTTATGAAAGAGATTATGCAAATTGCATTAAACCCTTTAACTCTTAAAGGAATGATACTTGTTTTATTTTCTTTAAGGGTTGCTAGATTCATCAATCTCTAATGGGAGTTATGAAATCTAATCTTTGTACTGGCCTAGTATATTTGAATTGTTTCCTAGATTTTTCTCGGTCTCCTTACCAAATCGCAATATTATGAAAATTTTAACAATGACTATTCAAACCCATGGTTATAATTTCATGGTTGGAACTGAAACCATCAACATATATTAGTAGTCAATAAACATCCACCTAATGCTATGGTGCATAGCTTCCATGATTGCGCGATAATTTAAGTATATATATATATGTGGATAAATTACACTTTGACCCTCTAAACTATGGACTCAATTTCACATTTCCCCTTGAACTATTGAATTTTTCACATTTTCTCCTCAACTACTTTGATTATTTCACATTGTGATCTTTTTAGAGTAAAATTGTTGATCTATCAACGCAAAGTGAAAGGAATTACATAGTTCGGTGGGCAAAATGAAATCACTTTCCGTTATATACATGTAATAGATGTTAATAATTGGGGCAATGTGAAACTAATCACATTGTTGAGGGGGCAAAGTGAAAAAATAATCCATTGAGGGGGTCAAAGTAATACACACACATATGTGTATGCACACACATACACACACACACATATATATACATATGAGTATGTAGTGGTCGTCTTTTTTAGTTTGAAGACAGGAGATTTCAGATAGTATTTGTGGGATATTGTCAAGAAAGGCAAGGCATGATACTTCTGCTTCTTTTCCATCTCTTCCACTTAATCCTTAGTGCTTTCA